ATTTGGTTTTTAGGGAGATTCACCCAGAGGATCCGGTTAAAACATACCATGTGAATCTGTCCATATTTACATCTGTTCCTGATTTTTGGGCGATTGGGCAGCTGTTTCCGATCCTCCCCATTCATCGTCTGGACGAGGAGCCATCTGTGGACGGAGTCCTCTCGGACTTAACCTGCGACAGTGACGGGAAGATTAACCGCTTCATTGGCGGCAAAGAGCTCTGCCTCTCCACAATTTGGGGAGAGAGGGGAGGGGTTACTACCTGGGGATGTTGTCTGGGTGGGCCGTACCAGGAGGCGCTTGGGGGGCTGCACAACCTCGTTGTGTGGCCCAGCGTGGTGAGGGTTGGTGCAGAGCGAGGGTGCCCACTGCTTCGCCGTGACCAGGCGGCGCCCGGGCCGTCGAGCGCGGGACGTGCTTCGCGTGATGCAGCACGAGCCCGAGGTGATGTTCGAGGGGTGAAGCGGCGGCGGAGGAGTGCGGGTGTTTGTGGTCGCCCTGTTGCTTGAGCGCTGGCGAGGGCATTCAACTCCATGCCTTATCTTGCCTTCGGAGCTGAAGCGGACTCTGAGAGCGGAGGTGAGAATGTCGTCAGCAGTGACGAGGACGACGGTGTGGAGTGGGACCTCATGAGGGGGCTCACCATGTAGAGGTAGAGACGGCCTCCACCTGACCTGAATAAATAAAATGGCTTAGCCTCGGAGCGTATCGAAGTTTCCTATGTTTATTTTTCATTTTTCATTTTTTAGTGTTCGTGGGTTTTAAGTGTTATGTGGGCTGAATTGTGGTTTAGTTTTGTCGTCAGTGTCCCTGTGTCTTGTATGTCCCGGTCTGTCGTATCTCTGTAGTGTGGTCTATCTCTGTAGTATGGCGATGATCTGAGAAGAAGATTTAACTGTTATTTTAGCTGTCATGGTTGGAAATTTGAGTTCCGCTTTTTCATTTATTATTATTATCTTTCTTTTTCTGCTTACTATTGAACTTCTTTTTTAAGTGCCTTTTTGTCTTGATTAGACCATAAAGTCAACAAACTTTGAAAGGTTTGCTCTTTGCTTACATCAGAATCTGAATATTCTTGAGGTTGCTTGGCAACGTTTGTAGGGGGGGTGGGTGGATCGGTCAAACATGACCAACTCAATTTATGTGTTTAACTCGAGGATTAAGATGTTCAGATATTCTTTTTCTTTTTTTCTTTTTTTTCTAATTTGAGAGAGAAGATCGAATGTTAACATCAGTAAGTCTATATCAATCGATTCTTCTCCGTTCCTTATTTTAGAAAAAAAAAATAGCAAAGTAATAATAGTCCAGATTTGCATATTTTTCACGGTTAGCATCCAAATTTTTTAAAAAAATCAAGGAAAAATTGCTTTAAGGCCCCAAAATTAAAAAAACAATGTGGCCCAGACCCATGTACTTTGGTCCATATGACTAAGCCCTTAATAATTTAACAAAATGTAACTGAGCCCTAAAAGCACTTCTCCCAGCCGTATTTGCACTCAGCCTCCCTAAAATACCTCCGCCTTCAACTCCGTGCCTCGAAAACGAGATCCGATCGCTGGCGATCCCTCCTCGTCGCATTTAAGGCGAGGTGATGGCCGTTTTGGGGGAAAATTTTGGCACGCTCCCTCCGTTATATATGCTGTTAACCCACTCGGCTTTGAATAGAGTGTATTTATGGTGCAAATAGCAGATTTTTGCGGTTAGGGCCTATGATCTTCAGCCCCCTACTTGTCCTAAAGTGCCCTTCATAACTCCTCTTAAATCCCCTTTATTTATGGCGGAGAGCCCCCTTATTTGCATGGTTTCCTTGGGTGAGAGAGCAGTGTTCTCAAGGGTAACTTGTGCAACCTCTTTTTTTGAGTTTAAGTTCGACGTGGCTGAGAGGTTGAAGGTTCCTTATGATGCGCTATCAATGGTTTATAAATCTGAAAGGATCCCTGATCTGAGTTTTGAGATCGAGAATGAGGATGATATGGAGTGTATGGTGGAGCACAACCGTAATATCGGGTGTCTGGAGATCCATATTCGAGCTACTATAGATGTAGATGTTTCCAGATGTTAGAACACCCCGAAGCAACCTCCTGAAATGTAAGTTATATTTACACTTAATTTATTTGAAAACTTATGAATTGCGTGAGTAAAATGTGGAGAAATGATAACATAGCGAATTGTTTCAGGTTAAATGTTAGCTTTTAACTGATATATGTTAACTTTCTACCGAAGGTTGTTAAGCTTTACGGCATATGTGTTAACTCTTAAGGGTACTGTAGAATTTAATTACAAGTCCTGTTCGTTATTTTAAGAAAAAATAATTATATTTGTGCAGCATTATGAATACACTGAAGCCAAAGTTTATTGATAGTATTTCTGCCGCAAATCATGGTTCTGAAAGAATTCCAATTGATAATCCCAGCGGTAACAGTGTAGTGCGTTCTGATGACATTATTAACAGCACAGTAATGATTCCTGGTTGGTGGCATAATGCATTAACTGAAGAAGGTCAAGAATTTGAAAGTGCAAAAGAATTAAGGTTGGCGCTGACATACTATGCTCTGGCCAAAATGTTTGATTATGTGTTTAAAAAGAACAAGCCAAAACGTATCCGTGTATATTGTCGATATAAAGAAACTTACAAGTGCCCATGGATGTTGTTTGCTTCACCTGTTAAGAATGAAAAGAGACTTTCGATCAAGAAGTTTGTTAATGAACATACTTGTGGGCAGTACGGACAAAATACAAGTCGTTCAAGGGCATCCCGTAAATTTATTGCAACACAGTTACAACCACTCCTGAAGGTCGTCCAAAAATTCGACCCGTTGATGTGCAAAAGGAGTTCCTCACAAACTACGGCCTTAGAATTGATTACAGTAAGATATGGTGGGGGAAAGAGAGAGCACAGGAGAAACTTTACGAGGATATATATGAGTCGTATGATCAACTACGATGGTAAATGCTGAGCTTTATTGTTAACTTGTTAAGTTTCAAAGTTTGCTTGTTAAAATAAATAGTTAACATGTTCCTTGTTAAGTTCATTGATAACATTGATAACATGTTAAGTTTCACCACTAACATGTTAACTTTCTCTGTTACATTGTTAAGTTACGCAGGTAATTTGTTAACTTTATTTGTTAACTTGTTAAGTTACTCGAATAATGTGTTAGCTTTTTTTGGTCGCTTGTTAAGCTACACGGATAACATGTTAACTTGTTGGGTTGTTTCTTCTTACACGACTAGGTATGAGCGCATGGTAAAAGAGACAAATCCCAGCAGTTATATACATGTTGACCAAAATGAGGGAAGGTTTTTGAGACTCTTTGTTTGTTATGCTGCATGCATCAAAGGTTTCTTGAGTGGATGCAGACCCCTTCTATTTTTGGACGGTACATTTTTGAAGGATCGATATAAAGGTATGCTCCTTTCGGCCATAGCATACGATGGGAACCAAGGTATATTTCCATTAGCGTATTGCATATGTGATCAAGAGAATTTGATGAATTGGAAGTGGTTCCTCCAAGATCTATGGTCCATACTTTATGAGAGGGCTGACCCTTACAATCCTCCCCACCAATTGGTTATAATTTCTGATGCGGACAAAGGAATTAAAGAATCAGTAAAAGAGTATTTTTCAGAAGCTCTACACTCGAGGTGTGTTCTACATCTTGTTGAAAATTTTAGGTTAAAGCTTAAGGACGTGGGTATGAAGTCGAATGACACTCATGTTCTGGGGAACTTACTCCAAATTGCTTGTTATAAATACACAATAGCAGAATGGAATGAGTACATGAAAGAGATATATGACATGGATCCAAGGGCAAACAACATTACTGTGAACTACTCTCCTGATCAATGGGCAAATGCATTCTTCCCGGGAATAAGGTAATTATTTGGCTGTTCTATATCTATGCTAATGTATGAACTTATGCTATTTAGCATGTTATCTTTGGATTTGTTAAATTCTATATCAGAGCTGTTAACTATATTCAGTTATTTCTTAATTGATAACAAAATTTCCGAGGCTGTTCACTATGTTCATTTATTTGTTAACTCTTATATCTGACCTGTTAACTCTTGTCTGTAAACTGTTATCTGTACATCATTAATTGTTAATTCTATTTAATTATTTGTTAACTCTTGTTGCTAACATGTCAACTGTAAGGACCCTGATTTTTGATTTTTGATTTGAATAAATTTTTCTGGTATTTAAATATTAAATATTATTTTTCTAAAAGAGTATTTGTATTTTCCCTAATTTTCTATGATTTAAAAATACGGTATTATAATATTTTAATGGTTTTGCTAATTATAAATTTAGCTGTTCGGTAAAACTTTTAAATTAATAGTTAATTATTCATTATTGTTATTATTATTTTGACCATAAATTTTTAATATTTATTTGAATAATTTTTCTTGTATTTTTTTATACGGGTATTTTTCCTTGCGTTTTCCCGCTCACTGGTATATCACTCTGTATTTCTCTCTCCTATCCCACTCCCCCTAAATCACTCCTTATTTCACTCCCTAAATCCCGCAATTCCCTTCTCGTGCTTCCCCCTGAGATTCCCCTCTCTATTTTAATCCTCCTCTCACGTCGCTCTCTCACTCAATCAGTCACTCTCTCTCTCTCTCCCATTCACTTCACAACACACACTCTCTCTCTCTTCAATCAAAATCAGCCAAGCCCCGACCGCTGCCCGCATCCGCTGCCTCTACGTCGCTGTTCACCTCCAGCAACTCGTCGTCTCCCATCTCGCGAGCTCTCCCTCAGCCGTCAAACCCGGAACCGCCAGCCATGGCCGCGCCCCATGACCTGAGCTCAGACCCCCCATTATCCGACGCTATGCATCACCGGTCGCCGACGAGTTCCGCGCTGACTTACCACCGCCTCGAGCTCAACCCCAAACCAGACCCGCCTCTTTCTTTAGATCCGTCCGTCAACAGGCCGCCGAGGTCATCGCCGTACCAAACCCCTGTTCGCCGCCCCCTCGTCAACCTCTCCTTCGTGCGGCTCCCCTTCTCAGCCCAGCCAGCACCACCCCACGCCTCGCCTGAGCCGCTCGGCAAGCGCTAGCTCGACGTCCTGGCCACTGTGTCGACCCCTCTCCCCTGTGTCGTCGACCACCAGATCCTAGATCTCAGCGAACTCCTCCATCTCCTCGTCGATAACCAGCTCCTCCCCTGAGTTTGACGCCGCCTTTGCACCACCGTCCAGCAGACCCATCGTGACTCGGTCGTTCAGATCCATTGTACCGCTTCCGCATCGGCACTACTGCCTCGTCATCAGACCCCACGGTCTCGTAGGCAAGATCCCGCTTCGATTAATTTATCATTTCATTATTTATATCTGTATTTATTAATTTTGTAGATTAGACTGTTATTATCTGCGTGGTTTGGTTGATGAGTAATATTAGTAATAATGAGATAATTACTGAGTGGTTATATTCGTAAAAAGGGGAGTAAAATATGTATTCTGAGCCGTATGCGATGAAAGGATATTTTGACGATTATATTATAATTAATTATAAGACGTTTTGAAAGAAATAATATTTGTAAAGACTATTTTGAAATATTATAGTAATAAATAAATTTAAGAGTTTATTTCGGTAATGGATTTATTTTTAGGAAATTTATAATAATTTAAAAGGTTTGTAAAAAGAATCATTTTTAGAGTAATTGTAAATAATTTAAGGAATTTATTTTGAAAAAGGATTTATTTTAGATTAATTATAATGAGGAAATATTTTAAAAAGAAACTATTTTGTAAAAGGACTTTTGAATAAATGGATTTATTATTTTAAAAGATTAGGAATAACTTAAAGGAAATTATTTTGTAAATGATTATTTTGGAATTAATAAGCTAATTATTTTTAAAGGTTAGTTTAAAAATAAATGGTTTATTTTGAGTAATTATAATAATAGATATCTTAAAAGAAATTATTATACTATACATGCACGTCCGATTCATAGTTATCCCATACAGTGATGTCATATTGAGTCTCGTAATTATATTTCATGTGATTACTCATTTGATTCATGTTATTGTCTGATATCATATCTTTATCGTGCTTCCTTATACTTATGCTTGAATACATTAGCCTAGAATTCCTTACAGGTTTGCTTTGCAATTCGCTGCCGGGAAATATATTATTGTTTGCAGCCTTGTATAATAAATTGCCGGTCGTGTATATTATTGATGGCCTTGTATTGTATTCGTTGACTCATTTATGGCTGTGTATCATTGCGGTGGATGGCCTTCGTGCCTATGTATTTGGTTTCATTTCTGTGTCGGCTATACGCCTTGAATTCCTCCAAATTGTGGAGATGAACCGACTATATCATTGTAGGCGATTTCGCCGTTCTCACTAAAATCGGGAGGGGAGATTAACGTCCTGATTTATTGACAATCCTGATTTGAGCCCCTCTACACCTAGGATGATTTGTTTAGACTCTTTCATTCATTCTATTGCTCAATTATTCGAAATTGAATCCGAAGTCGCTTCTCGTTTCCTGTGCCGACCTATCTATAATGGAACTAGATCTTGAAATTCTCCCCGTTGACGTCGTAGGATTCCTTGTTATGTCGTCATTATACTTATGATTATTTTCTATATTTTCTTTGGTTGGATCGCTTCCTCGTTTAGCGTGTATACTTCCTTTTCGACAGTTAGTAGTTGTTTCTTTATTCTGCATCGATCTATCTATCGTCGGACTTGACTGGAAATCTTCATCATTTCTAGTGCATTATAATATTACTATTTTCATATATATATATATATATATAGCCTTGCTGTGATTGAGAACCATTAGCAGTCATGACCATAGTGGCCTTGTGTGACCTAGAGACATGTGCTGTGTTGACTTAGAAAAGCAAGAAGAGTTGGGGTGGGAAAGTCTTTGTTCATGTGATTGGATATGGTTGTTGATATATCTTCCAGGCTCGTACCAGTGGATCGGTGTCGCCACTGAGGTTGAGTTGTTGAGTCAAAGTAGATCGGTGTCGCTATTTTGGTTCATGAATTTATTTGCTTGGATGATGTGCGAATAATCAGTTATACGATGATATGACCGTTGACTCTGTGTGAGATATGTACCCGTGACCTGTTATAGAATGACTAGTTACATGATCTCGTTTCCTGGCTATGTATGAATCCTTGTGAGACGTAGATCAGTTGTATTTTCTTTCCATACATGGATCGGGGTTAATATTTAATTATTTATAATTCGAGACATATGGTATATACATGAGGGTTTCCTTGTTTGGATTATTTCGCTCGACGTACTACGTCTCGAGTTGTAGATTTTTAAGTATTAATTCTATCTAGTGTATAACCCTGTACTTGGATGATTAGTCTGTTCGCTAGCTGCATGATCGACTTGTTACTTGGTTGACCTTCTTGGATACTCCTGATTATTATATTCTAGTGGTAGATTGCATTTAGATTATTAGTATTCCAGTAGCATGCTTCTTTTATTATTATTATCACTGTTTTGCTTTGGTCGTTCGATCGTTCCTATTTCTTTCTGTGGGATCTTGCCGTGTGTCGCACACGTTGACGTACACCTGTTTTTCTCTGGTGTACGTCAGATTTAGGAGATGAGCAGCCTCAGTTCGGGATAGTACAGGAGCCAGATGATTTGCAGCAGTAAGGTCTTCCAGATGGATCAGAAGAACAATCTGAATCTTAGACTTTTATTTCTGTAGTAGTTGATGAGCGCTAGATCTCTTTTGCAGAACCTTACTTTAGTATGATGTTGGATTTAGTTATTTTAGCAGTACTTTCCTTTTATTTCTGTTGGACTATGTATTTTTATATTTTTAGTTGGACGGTTTTGTAATAAGGGCGTGTTTGACCCAACTCTGTGTCCTGGATGATATTCTATTTATGATATGTATCTTTTCCATTCCGAGTTGTTCATTATACTCTTGCTATGTGTGATCGGGGACCCGTGACTTCGTATATTATATTTTTGACGCTTAGCGTATTAGATTGAGAAGACGGGGTCTAGCATTTATCTCTTCTCAGTTTAATACGTCGCGGGCTTATTCGCGTCCCAATTCCCTAGTATTTTGGGAAGCGGGGCGTGACATCAACCATTATGGAAAGCATGTTAACTCTTGTGAAAAACATGTTAACTCTTGTCGCTAACATGTAACTCTTGTGGCTTTAGTACATGTTAACTCTTGTTGCTAATATGTTAACTCTTGTGACAAACATGTTAACTCTTGTTGATAACATGTTAACTCTTGTGGATAACATGTTAACTCTCATGGCTAACATGTTAACTCTTGTGGATAACATGTTAACTCTGGTGGCTAACATGTTAACTGTTAAATGTTAACTATTATATGTAAACTGTTAACTGTAATTGTTAACTCTGGTGGCTAACATGTTAACTGTTAAATGTTAACTATTATATGTAAACTGTTAACTGTAATTCAAAAAAGTTAACTCTATTCAATTATTTGTGTCAATCCTTATTTATGACCTGTTAACTCTTATCTGTAAACTGTTAACTGTAATTCATTACCTGTTAACTCTATTCAATTATTTGTTAACCCTTATTTGTGACCTGTTATAAAGTTATATATAATTTCAGGTATGGGCACGTAACATCTAATGTCGCTGAGTCTTTTAATAATTGGATAAGGAAGGCTAGAATGCTACAGATTCTACAAATAGTTGAGCATATTCGTAAACAGATAATGGTCCGAATGAGTAATCGCCGGTTACTTGGAGATAAATGGGTTAGATATCTCTGTCCACAAACAGAGATGGTGCTTAAAGAAAATATAGAGAAAGGTCGTCCATTAGATGTTAAGCAAGCTGCAGCTGACATATTTGAAGTGCAAGCACATAAAACTACCCGTGTTGATTTGGAGAAGAAGACATGCACTTGCCGTGCTTGGGACGTCATGCGGATTCCGTGTAAAGAAGACATGCACTTGCCGTGCTTGGGACGTCATGCGGATTCCGTGTAAACATGCATGTGCAGTCATCTCATACATGAAGAGATACATTTACCAATATTGCGATTGGTTTATGTCCACAGAAGTATTTAAAAAGAGCTATGGCCCGATTCTCTATCCTATACCAGATTATGAGAAATGAAGCATGCCAAGGGATGAGATCGAGCTACTTCCACCACATACTACCAAAAGAAAGGGGAGAAATAAAACACGACGTATCAACAATCGAACAGTGTACAAACGGCCTTTGAAATGCTCTCGGTGCCACTCTGAAGGCCACAACCGCGCAACTTGCAATGAACCGATCGCCGATTGATATGAGTTGCGGATTTGCCGAAATACTTTTGGGTGTGTGTAATACTTTTGTAGTTAACTGTTTATATGAACTGAAACATATTTGGGTGTTTGTAATACTTTTGTAGTTAACTGTGTATATGAACTGAAATATATTTGGGTGTTTGTAATACTTTTGTAGTTAACTGTGTATATGAACTGAAATATATTTAGGGTAATGTGAACTATAATGAAAATGTTATCTTACTTGGTTTGTAAAGTTACTCAGTTAGATTGTTAAGTTACAGTTAACATATAAAATTTTCTTGGTAGGTTATTAAGTTACACCTATTACATGTTAACTCTTGTGGATAACATGTTGGGTAACATGTTAACTCTTGTCACAAATATGTTAACTTTTGTGGCAAACATGTTAACTCTTGTGGTTAACATGTTAACTCTTTTGGCTAATTTGTTAACTCTTGTGGCAAACATGTTAACTTTTGTGGCAAACATGTTAACTCTTATGGCTAACATGTTAACTCTTTTGGCTAATATGTTAACTCTTGTGGTAAACAAGTTAACTTTTGTGGCAAACATGTTAACTCTTGTTGATAACATGTTAACTCTTGTGGATAACATGTTAACTCTCATTGGTAACATGTTAACTATTGTCGATAACAAGTTAACTCTTGGCGATAACATCTTAACCCTTGTTGATAACATGTTAACTCTTGATGATAATATGTCAACTCTTGTTGCAAACATGTTGACTCTTGTGGATAATAATCGAACTATTAACTGTAATTCTCTGTTAACTTGTTAAGCTATGCAGATAGTACGTTAACTTTCTCTCGTACATTGTTAAGTTACATGGCTAACATGTTAACTTCATTCTTGGTAACATCATCTCTCTCTCCATTCGAGCCCTCTTCATCCTCAACCATCTGCTTGTCCTCCTCATCCTTGATCACTTCGTCTCTCTCTTCGTTCTTACCCATTTCCTCGATACCTTCATTCATGGTGACGTCGTCTCTCTCTCCATAGTTGTCCTCTCCATCGATTTCATGCTTTTCCTCTTCTTCCACTGTAGGGTTTCCTTTCAGCTGCTGTGCAATAAGCTTCTTGACATTGTTCTTTAAAACCAAGGGATCTACTATTGCACAAGATTCGTCCAACCCCTTAACCTTTTCGTTAAGTCTACGAATCTCGTTCATGAAAGTTTAACAATATAATTTATTCGAGACCCTCAGTGTACGGTAAAATCTCTGGTTTAGTTAGCAGCATTTCTCTAAAATTGCAGCTGCTCCTCAACTGGTAACGTTTCAATCACATCTTTCCTTTCGGAAGCCTCATCAATGGCTTTTGACATTATCTATAATTTAGAAATAACAAACAGTTAACATCAAGCTTATAAATGTTAACAGTAAGAGGCCTACAGTTGACACATATAAATTAAAGGTTCTTCAATCATCTATATGTAATATGTTAACTCTTGTTGCTAACATGTTAACTCTCGCGGGTAACATATTAACTCTTGTGGCTAACATGTTAACTCTTGTGGCTAATATGTTAACTTTTGTGGTAAACATGTTAACTTTTGTGGCAAATATGTTCTCTTGTGGCTAACATGTTCACTCTTATTATTAACATGTTAACTCTTGTGGAAAACATGTTATCTATTGTGGCTAACATGTTAACTGTTATGATTAACATGTTAACTGTGGTAATTTAGCACCTTAGAACTTACCAAACCTATTGATCATCTCTTCTCATGTTCCTTCTCTTCTTCCTTCTTTTCAACCTTCTTTTCTTCTTCAATCTTCCTCTTCCTTACTGCTGCTTTCTTCTCCTCCGTATGTACGACTGGACATTGTGGTATAATCCCTTCACTTCTAAGCCTCATCAATGGCCTTCTGATTGGATATTTCTCATCGGATGGGCCAATTTCAGCTATTGGTTTATGTACAACCTGGATGCTAGCTTTTGCAGCCTTGGCAACTATTGTGCGTTTTTGAAAAGATCCATACTTCTCACCAATCTTCACCTAGTTAGTGAGGGGTGGCTTGAATCTATTGTTAAAGGCATATCTTTTAATCCCCGTCATTTCATAGTACCATAGCTACAAATAAATAATACATGTTAGTATGCACTACTAATCTTTTAAACATGATATAGTTAACAGAACTGAACTGAAATATAGTTAACACTGACAACACCAACTTTAATACTAGAAACACTATAGTTAACATGAACTTGAATATAGTTAATCAGATCCTTAAAATAGTTAACATGAACCAGTAAGCCTTAATGGTTTCTTGACGTAAGTTGACAGAATACATACAAGCGTTCACATGCACAGGTTAATCCAACTTACAGGGATCAAAGGCATGCTTCCAGGTACATAGCTTACTCCTGACATGTGCAGACCTTCCCTGGCAATCTTAATTTCTTTCTTCGTCTGATCATAGATGTATTTCCCCCAAGCCACATTCCTCACTCTTTCAATTGAATCAACATATTTGAATAAGAGCCTTGGGATGCCTTGGACACTGCTAGGGCACCACATCATTGAACATTGATAAACTATCTGTAGTAACACAAAATCTTCAATATCCTTCTTCTTTCTTGATTCAACAAGAGATTGCAGTAGCTCTTCCACATATCGCCGCAAATTCTTCGCTGATTTCTTTGGGGTTCTACTTAAATGTTCATCAAAATACTCCACCCAAACCCTAGGGAAAGGATCTCTATTATTGTAAATTATTTCCCCATCAATTGGGAAACCTGTATGTTCATGCACCCAGTTCATATTAAAATTAACAACCTTTTCTCTCCCACTTTTGGTATCGGGCAAAGAAAACGCCACTTCATTACCCTTATAGTAACTCAATACAAGTTCCAGCGTGGGTCGATCTACTGCTAGGGGGCCAAACTTTACATAATACTGGAATGTACACCCTTGGTATGCATCCCAATGACACAGTCGTATTCGCGATTCAAGGACTTTTATAAATTTACAATATGCGGCGAAACTAGCAGTGGGTCTAATTTTAGCAGCACCTGATTTTTTTCCTGTATTATAATTAAACATTTAACATCAACCACACATAACATCCAACATCCAATAGTTAACATGCAACGATGAACTGTAACAGTTACACTATAAACCTTAACAAACAACAGCCAAACTTAACAATAATAAGAGGTATATAGTTCACATTTAACATTAAGGTATCCGCTAACATGTCCTTCAACCAATGTCCAGGCATATAGTTCACAATTAACCTAAATCTATAACATCTATCTAAATTGGAAAATATAACATATAACATTATCTTACTTCTTTATGGATTTCTGTGGTGCATTTAGTGAACTTGTAATTTTTCTATTTCTCATTACACCCCTTTGGAAACTCAACAACGATTGGGTGTTTTCATCGGTGCTGCCATTCCTTGATGATGATGTATGGGTGGACAAAGACTTGGAGGCGGGGGAGGATGTGAGAGAATCGGTACCACGGTCGGTCTCAGATGGCAAAGGGGGGTCTTCGTCGGTCTTGGAAGGCGAGGGGGGATCTTCCTCGGTCTTGGAAGGCGACGGCGAGTCTTCTCGCTCGTCGTTCATCGGTGCATGTTCCTGACTTTGCAGCGGCGACGGAGGATGGTGAACAACTTTGAATTCGTTCGCCGATTTTTTCTCCATCTTCGATCCGGTTTCGACCTAACCCTAGAGTGTAGATTTTGGTTTTTTGCCGGAGGGAAAGCCAGAGACAGAGTGCGGGAGGGAGAGTGGAGAGAGAGAGAGCGTCTCGATAGTAGCGGACTGGGCGACACCATTACCAACGCACGGAGGCTGTAGCGGAGTGGGCGGGAACGATAGAGTCGGGTTTCTGAGAATTACAGCTCACTCTCGTGAGCAGGAGGGGCTGAAATGAACTTTTGGAGTGTATTTTGGGTTTACACCAAACATTAAAAGTACAGGGGACTGTTTTTTCAATTTTGGGGCCTTGAAGCAATTTTTCCAAAAATCAATTGCCTTCTTCTGATAGAATTCTACAAATGGTCTGTCAACGCATATAATTGACAATAATTTATGACAAAGACAAAATATTGCGAAACCTAATAATTTTAATGAAGAATTCTACAAATGGTCTGTCAACGCATATAATTGACAATAATTTATGACAAAGACAAAATATTGCGAAACCTAATAATTTTAATGATGCCAATAATACTAACAATAGCAAACTACAATATAAAATTAACTTATTTTGTGGAGCCTAACTACTGGCTATAAGCATCAAAGTTTCCATATATATACTTTATAATTTATTAAAAAGGGCCATATAATATTATGTAATAAAATTTATTTACTACTAAATAGTAACATCGTTGTAATAATATCGTTATTAGGGAAATTTTTTTATGAACCAGTATGTTCTTTACGATATATAAGCTATGCAGTCCATATTCTTGTGTCTTTTATAAAACCAAAAAGTTTGAATACGAGCCTCTAACATTTTGCTCTCACAACAGCAAAATCCATTTAGCAAATGTGAATATTCCAGATGAGTTATATATCTTATATACAATAAAATTATCCTAAGCAAGTGAATTATGATAGCATTTTTTATTCACATTGATCAGGGAAAGATTAGATAGGGACCTTGCATCAAAGAATTTTTTTTTATATTTAGAGAAGATTGTGAAATATATCATAATCTCTCTGCTCTAATT